TGACAAGATAAAAGAGCTGAACAGAAGATTTCAAAGAGCAATTAAGAAACAAAGTCAATTATTATAATGAAATGTGCAAAGACCTGGAGTTAGAAAACCAAAAGGGAAGAACATGCTCAGCATTTATCAAGCTGAAAGAACTAAAGAAAGAATTTAAGCCTTGAGTTGCAATATTGAAAGATTCTATGGACAAAATACTGAAACATCAAAAGAAGATGGGAGGGATACACAGAGTCACTGTACCAAAAAGAATTGGTCAATGTTCATTCATTTCAGGAGGTGGCAAATGATCAAGAATCAATGGTATTGAAGGAAGAAGTTGAAGCTACACTGAAGGAAGTGGTGAAAAACATGGCTCCAGGAATTGATGGGATACCCTTTGAGATGTTTCAACAAATGGATGCCCCACTGGAGGCACTCACTCGGCTATGCCAGGAGATTTGGAAGACAGCTACCTGGTCAACTGACTGGAAAAGATCCATATTTGTACCAATTCCAAAGAAAGGTGATCCCACAGAATGTGGAATTTATCAAACAATATCATTAATAACACATGCAAGTAAAATCTTGCTGAAGATAATTCAAAAATGATTGCAGCAGCATATTGACAGAGGGCTTCCAGAAATGCGAGCTGGATTCAGAAGAGGACATGGAAAGAGGGATATCATTGCTGATGTCAGATACATCTTGGCTGAAAGCAAAGAATACCAGAAAGATGTTTACTTGTGTTTTATTGACTATGCAAAAGCATTGGATTCTGTGGATCATAATAAATTATGGGTAACATTGAGAAGAATGGGAATTCCAGAACACTTAATTGTCCTCATGAAGAACCTGCACATAGGCTGTCATTCAAACAGAACAAGGGGACACTGCATGGTTTAAAATCAAGAAGACAGTGTGTCAGGGTTGTATCTTGTCACCATACTTATTCAATCTGTATGCTGAACATATAATCTGAGAAGCCAGACTATATGAAGAAGAACATGGCATCAGGATTGGAGGAAGACTCATTAACAACCTGTGATATGCTAATGACACAACTTTGCTTGCTGAAAGTGAGATGACTTGAAGCACTTACTGATGAAGATAGAAGAATATAGTCTGCAGTATGGGTTACACCTCCATATAAAGAAAACAAAAATCCTCACAACTGGACCAATAAGCAGAATCACAATAAATGAAGAAAAGATTGAAGTTGTCAAAAACTTCATACTACTTGGTTCTACAATCAACACCAATGGAAGCAGCAGTCAAGATATGAGATGATATATAGCACAGGGGAAACTGGCTGCAATAGACCTCTTCCAAATGCTGAATAGTAAAGATGTCTCCTTGAGGACTAGGGTGCACCTGACGTAAGCCATGGTATTTTCAATCACCTCAGACACATGTGAGAGCTGGACAATGAATAAGGAAGGTTGAAGAAAACTCCATGCTTTTGAGTTGTGGTACTGGCAAAGAATGCTGAAAGTACCATGGACTGCTAAAAGAACTAACATCTGCCTGGAAGAAATGCAGCTGGAATGCTCCTTGGAAGCAAGGATGGCCAGACTTCATCTCACCCACTTTGGTCATGTTGTAAGAAAGGACCATTCCCTGGAGAAGGAGATCATGCTTGTTAGAGTGGTCAATGAAAGAGGGGAAGGCCTTCAACAAGATGGACTGACACAGTGGCTACAACATTGGGCTCAGGTATAGCAAGGATTGTGGAACTGGCACAAGACTGGGCAGTGTTCATTCTGCTGTACATAGGGTCGCTATGAGTTGGAGATGACTCGACAACTCCTAACAACAACAATGTTCATTGCAGCATTATGCATGATAGCAAAAAGATGGAAACAACCTAAGTGCTTGTCATCAGATGTGTGGATAAACAATGTATGGTACATACACACAATGGAATGCTATGCAATGTTAAAGAATAATGATGAATCTACAAAACATCTCATAACATGGGTGAACCTAGAGGACATAATGTCAATCACAAAAGGACAGATGTTATATGAGACCACCACTAAAAAAATCAAGAAAGTGTTTACACATAGGAGGAATATTCTTTGAAGGTTACCAGGGGTAGGAAGGGAGGGTAAATCAGTGACTAGAGGGTAGACAGATATTAACTTAAGTGAAAGCGAAGGCAGTACACAGTGAGGGAGAGGTCAGCATAAAATGATCAAGGCAAAGGAAGACAAGAACTAAAGGCAACAGAGGTAAACACTATTACATACACAATCCTGCAATTACAGTAATAACAATAATCTATGAGTGGTATATACATAGACACACAAGCTGAACAGGTATGGGAAGGCTAATGGGACTACACCCACATACATGTATAGGTTTGACAAAGGACATTTCTACATATGTATTTACATGTGCTGCAAATATATCTATGAATATAGTAGAGTATATAGGGGGCAAAGTTAATGAAAACTTCTTAACCATAACCAAATACCTTGAGGGAATGTGTCACTGGGCTTGAGGGCTCAGGACCATAGCCTCAGGGAACATCAAGGTCAATTGGCATCACATAGTTCCACAAAGACAATGTTCTGCATCCTACTTTGGTGAGTAGCAACAAGAGTCTCCAAAGCTTATGAGCAGCCATATAAGTTGGTCTCCCCTGTCCAGAGCAAAGAAGAGTGAAGACAGTCAAAGATGCAAGGAAACATTTAGTCCAAAGGACTAACAGGCAATGCAAACCCCAACCTCCATGACCCTAAGACCAGAAGAACTAGATGGTGCCCAGCCACCACTGCTAACTTCTCTGAAAGGGATCACAATAGGAGGTCCTGAACCGAATGGGAGAAAAATGTGGAACAAAACTCAGAATCATAAAAAAGTCTGATAGAGACTGGTAGAACACCTTCAAGCCTGAATTTACCTCCTTGGCTCAACTTCCAGCCAAGTGATAAAAAAAAACCACTGAAACCTAACTCACTGCCGTCAAGTCAGATCTGACTCATAGCGACCCCTCCTTGGGTTTCCAAGGTAGTATCATTAGGGAGCTCTGGTAGCATAGTGGCTAAGACACTTGCCTGCTAACCAGACGGCTGGCGGTTCAAACCCACCAGCCACTCCTCGGAAGGAAGGTTGGGCAATCCTACTTCCGTAGTGATACTGCCTCGGAAACCCAAGGAGGGGTCGCTATGAGTCGGGGCCGACTCGACGGCACATAACAACAACAACAACAACATCATTATGGAACTAGATTGCCCAACCTTCAGGCCTATAAAGTGAACAGTAACACCAGGGAGGTACGGACTCCATGGAAAAATCAACCAAATGAGATAAAAGGGGAACCATTTCCCCAGGGATCAAGCTCAGAAGACAGTAAAGGACAGGAAAGAAGGATGAATAGAAATGGTAAACAGAGAGGAAGTGGGAAGAGTATTGTGACATTGTAAGGATTGCAATCAATTTCACAAAACAAAATGTTCATGAGCTATTGAATGGAAAACCAATTTGCTCTGTAAACTTTCACCCAAATCACAATAAAGTTTTAAAACATAGATACACTATATCTATATATATATACATATACGGATATATATATATTATGACCCCATATAAGATTAAAATATATAACCTAGGAGGACTTAGATCAAATGTTAATCTCTGGATGGAGGGATTCTACAATATTTTAATCTTTTCTTTTCTTTTTTTCTTTTTTTTTTGCTTATCTACATTTAAAAAAATGATATTTTCTACAATGAGCATATATTTCCTTCCATCCATTCTAGCCAATGCCCATGCTGTTGTTGTTGTTGTTATGTGCTGTCGAGTCAAACCTGACTCATAGCGACCCCTCCTTGGGTTTCTGAGGCAGTATCACTACGGAAGTAGGATTGCCCAACCTTCCTTCCGAGGAGTGGCTGGTGGGTTTGAACCGCCAGCCGTCTGGTTAGCAGGCAAGTGTCTTAGCCACTATGCTACCAGAGCTCCCATGCCCATGCTAGGAGTATGGAAAGAAGCATATGGGCAAGTGAGAACCAGTTGCTCCTGGCTCTTAGGCATTGTGGCAAAGGTCACTGACCCTTGGGAGGCCAGTTCAAGCAGCTTATCAAGAATTCCAGAAACAGTGAGTCCCCACACTGGTTCGACTCCCATCACTTTGGTATCCAAATGCTTAGTTGCTTTACAACCTGCTGGTGGGTTGGCCACTGCTCTCCCTTGAGGGAGAACACTGTTTGTAATGTCAGTACATGATAAAGCTAATCTCCCTAAAACTGCAGGACCATTGCACTTCCCCTTCCCCGGAGCACCCTCCCATGGAGGGGGTGACCGCTAAGATGCTCCGTTGCTCTGGCCAGTGACTATTACACATATGTAGGTGTGATTCTGAATGTTGTTGAGAAGAGGCCATGACCATGGCAACCCAGACTCGGCCTCATGCTCTTGGGCCTCAGTCTGGGGATCAGTCCAATAGCTGGGGAAAGAAGGTGGGGTTCGGAGTCAGAAAAGCCACTTCCTGGCGGTCCAACCTCAGGCAAGATACAATTTCTCTCTGCCTTGGTTTCCACATCTGTAAAATGGTGCTGAAGCTCCTTATCCTATCTGCCTCTAGGATTGGTGTGGAATTATTTGTGAACTGTAAAACACTAGAGGAGTAGAAGGCATTCTTAACTTTGTTTTTTCATCATAATTGCTATGTGACTTCAGACAAGTCACTTAACCTTTCTGTGCCTCAGTCGCTCTACTTATAAATGTTGTTGTTGTTGTTATTTGCCATCGAGTCAAACCCGACTCATAGTGCCCCCTCCTTGGGTTTCCGAGGCAGTATCACTACGGAAGTAGATTGCCCAACCTTCCTTCCGAGGAGTGGCTGGTGGGTTTGAACCACCAGCCTTCTGGTTAGCAGTCAAGTGCCTTAGGCACTATGCTACCAGAGCTCCTTGGATGCAGGACAAGATGGCAATATTATTGTAGACTTCTCTTGGCCTTGGTCTACTGTGTGATGTTAATCACTGCCCTTCCTCTCTCTGCTTCCTCCACAGATGAGTACCTCAGAGCCCTCAATGTGAGTGTGGCCGAGGTGAGGAAATTCTTCCTGGGGCCCTTGTCCCCATCTTGCAAGATGGTACAGATGATGCGGCAGTTTCTGTACAGGGTTCTGCCTGAGGACTCTTACAAGGTCGCCACTGGGAAGCTGCATGTGAGCCTCACCCGGCTCACGGATGGAGAGAATGTCGTGGTTTCAGAGTATACATCCAAAGAAGAGCTCATCGAGGCAAGGGGCTAGGGTCTGGGGAGGCAGGCTCTGGGCACGGGAGACTGGGTCTGAGAAGGGAAAATTGGTGGGCTGGGGCTGGGGACGTGGGGGTGGGACGGTATGTTTGGAAGTTCGGACCTGGCAAAGAGGGATGATCTGGGATGCAGGAGTCTGGTCCTGGGGAAGCAGATTCTGTGCTGGGGAGGTAGGATCTTGGCCATGGAAGGCATGGTTTTATTCTGGGGAGATGGGGGCTAGGACTAGGCAGGCAGGGTCTGGGAGAGGAAGGTCAGAACTGGTCCAACTTGATGACTCCTGGGGTGGTCCACCTGTCTGCCTCACTTCCTTCCTTCTATTTCCTGCTTCTCTGTTCCTTCCCTTTTTTCATCACTCTGGCATCTCTCTGTGCCAGGCAGTGTTAGAGGACATGTCCTACGCAAAGTACTGCAGGGCAAGTCAGACTTGATCACTCTCTGCAGTGACTCCTCTGGCCTCTGTTCTGTCCTCTGTGCTAATCCTGGAGCTTCTCAGAAGTCCAGGTATAACCTGTCTCATGTCTCCTTTAGGGACTCCTGGCCTGGGTTGCAGTGTGCACCTACCTACCCTGGAATTACTCCCTGTTTTCCAAAACAATCAGGGAAGAGAGAAGTTTCTTATCAAGGGCCTTGCCTTCCAGTGGCCCTTGATAAGAAAAAGAAAAAACCTGTTGCCATTGATGAGTCGATCCTGACTCATGATGACCCCCATGTGTGTCCGAGCTAAGCTGCATTCCACATGGTTTTTGATAGCTGTAATTTACAGATTAGATAGCCAGGCCTTGCTTCTGTGGTACTGCTGGATGGATTCGAACTGCCAGCCTTTCACTTCGTAGCTGAACACAAGCCCTAGATAAAAGAACTAAATCCTCATGGAATGGGTATCAGTTAGAAAAATGGCTCTAATCATAACACTGTTAGACCCAGTGCACAGTTCTAAGCTCTTTAAATGCATTCATTCATTAATGTGAGTTTCAATTCTGAGTTACTGCTATTGGAGAGTGCCCTGGATATGCCCAATTTTCTTTCAGGACAGAGGAATTAAACTACATGGTTCTCCATCCTATTTCCACACCCTTCATCCAAAATGCAGAACTTTTGCCATGCATCCTCACATCTTCACACTGGCCTGGCCATGATCCTGGGTGAGGTGGTGTGTGTATGTGTGTGTGTGTAGGGGGTAAGTAAGTAGTGGACATGGCCACCTCCTCCATCCACCTCACATAACCCTGCTTTACTTAACACCTAGCTTTATTTGGAGGATAGCTGTCCTAGGGAGAACACTTGAGCTAGGCCTTGGGTAGTCCAAAGGGAAGGGCAATTTAAGCAGCAGACTCAGACTGTCCACCATCCTTCAGGGGAAGCTGCAGTGCCACCTCCCATTTCCAGAGGGACCAGAGAAGGGTGCCAGGCAGGGCCACCTCCCATTTCCAGAGGGACCAGAGAAGGGTGCCAGCAAGAGCCTAAAGCTTAGTAGAGGGAGGCTGGAAGCAAAGGATAAGTCCACCTCCATCATTTGTTTTATTATTGTAACCCAAATAAATCTGGGCCTCCGGTTCCTGCTTTGCATTAGGTCATATTCTTTGGAGACAGGCTCTGGACAGAAATCTGTGAGCAGAAGGGTTTCATGGGGTGCCAGAGGCAGGAGTAAGCAGAGGGAGACCTGACTTGCAATATGGTTCAACAGAAGCTCTGCAAATTCTGCAGAGAGCTCTGGAGCTGGCATGGCTCTTCAGAAAACCAAAAGTCCCAAACCTGTTATCATCAAGTCGATTCTGACTCATGGTGACCCTATAGGACAGAATAGAATTGCCTGCATAGGATTTCCAAGACTATAAATCTTTTCAGACGTAGGCTGCCACATCTTTCTCCCACGGAGTAGCTGGTGGGTTCAAATTGCAGACTTTTCTGTTAGCAGCTGAGCATTTAACCACTGCACCACCAGGGCTCCCCTGGGTTTTCAGAGATGTCCCCAGATTCAGATAAGGCCAGGCCTTTGTGTGCCCCACCCCCCCCTCAGCCAGTCTTTGGCCTCAGGCTGCATCTGGGAGTAGATGACTTGGGTGAGATAGTTCCCCTGCAGCTGTGGAATTTCTGAGGGAGGGCTGCTGAGGGGGCTGGAGTGGAAGGTCCCAACAGCTGGGGGATGGCATCAGCCTGTTGAGGAAGTCTGAGCAGCACTCTATGGATTTATCACAGCACCTGTTAGCCCCTGTGACATCACTTTCTTGCTTTCTCTTTCTTTGGGCATTCCCAAGGGTGGGGGTCTCACCTTCCTTTGATTCCAGGGCCTAACTCAAAAGTTGATGAATTCCATTGGATTCATAGAATTTAGGTGCCAGAGGAGCCTCTGGATGTCATTAAGGCCATCTTCTCACTTTAAAGTTGGGACATCATGCCCAGACTGACCAAGCAGGTTATGGAGGATACTGGGCCAGGAATTAAACTTGGAGCTCCGCTTCCCAGACTAGTGCTTAGCCTTGGGTTTAAGGAAGGCCAGGCTGGCAGAGTCCCAGGGGCCTACAGACAATCCCTCCCTATATAGCTCCCAGGTCCCCTGTCATCTCAGCCCCTTGTTCTCTTCCCACAGGCCCTGTACTGCAGTTGCTTTGTCCCCATGTACTGTGGTCTCATCCCCCCAACCTACCGTGGCGAGGTGAGTACTCCGGCTTGGTGCAGGGGAGAGCAGGAATCAAGGAGAAGCCCCTCTGATCCATGTGTGGGAGAGCAGTGAGTGGTCTCAGAAGCAGTGAGAGGCCTAGAGTTGGAAAGTTTCTTGTGTTTTTCCACTTAGAATTGTGTGCTTCTTGTGTTTTTCCACTTACACAAATCTCTGGGGCTTTTGGGTGGTTTGGTGGTAAAATTTTCGTCTTCCATCTGGGAGACCTGCGTTCATCTCCCAGGCCAGTGCCCCTCATGCACAGGCCCCACCCATCTGTCAGTGGAGGCTTGTGTTGCTATGATGCTGAACAGGTTCCAGCAGAGCTTCCAGACTAAGACAGACTAGGAAGAAGGGCCTGGTGATCTATTTCCAAAAATCAGTCAATAAAAGCCCTATGGATCACAACAGTCACAACTGCAGCCCATCATGAGGATGGCGCAGGACCAGATAATGTTTTGTTCTATTGTTCTTGAGGTTGTCATGAGTCGGGGGTTAGCTCTCTGGAAGCTAAAACAAGATGAACTTCCAAGGATGAGTTGGGCTTCTCTCTGGACTCACCAACCCACTCACTGTGATCTCAGGCAGCACCCCACCCCACCCCCATGTTGTTGTTGTTAAGTGCCGTCGAGTCGTTTCC